CTTTGCTCTGGCTCGATGCTATTTGTGGGTTCCAAAACAAGATCCCCCCCCGCCCACTCACGGGCGATACGCCACGCGTCGAGAAGAGCGAAACTCTCCCCCCCGCCCACTTAGAGGGCTGAAGTTTGTTGGGCACATTTAGGGTAGCAAGCGGTTCCGCTAGGGCAAAGAAACTGATGCTGGGCCGTGGGTTCGCATGGCTTTAGCATTGGCATACGATGGGTTCAAAGTGTCCCCTAGCACAACTGGAGTTGGGTCTGCCACTTGCTGACTTAGACTTGGTTCACTGGTCACTTCCAAGTTAGAATTGGAAGATTTGGAGTCTGGCACACATAATATTTGCGAATGTGCTTTTAGCGACATTCCGTTGGGAAATATCTGGCTGTGGGTCAAAAACATAGGGCCCCAAAAATGGAAGCCTGGCAAAAAGGCAAAGACTGAAACCTGCGTAACCCCTGGAAGACCCGTCTTGCTTTTCGCGCCACACCCACCGGGTGCCGGGTCTGCTTCCTCGCCTCCGAGCCGACGAGGCGATGGAACCCCGGCGGGCTGGACGGCAGCAGCAGCAGCCGCAAGACCCCGGGCAAGAAGCTCAGGAAGTTCCTGCGGACCGATTTGTTCCGGATTTTGGAGTGGGTGGATTTTTGCCGGGGGAAGGACAAATTTCGGAGATATCCGGAGAAAAATAGATCCCCAGAAATAGATCCCCGTTTTCATGAAAATTGGGGGGGGGGGGGGCAGTCTTCTCGGATTCGGGGTCATTGGCAAGATGCTCTGCTTGCAAGGGCGCGTGTCGCTTGCGTGCCAAACAGCCCCCCAACCAGCATAATTCTGCACCACCCGCAGAAATCAGCATCTGCGAGCAGCCCCCCCTCGGAGCTGCTGCAAGGCAGCGTCGTCTGGCTGGCGCCTACGCCAGCAGCTGGCATCAGCAAAGCCGGCCCCAGGTGCTTGGAAGCAACCTAGTTGGTTCTCAGGGAATGACCACCTTATGTGGCTCCCGTTAAGGGGATTCGGTTCATTCCCAAAACCGCCGTTGATTCAACCCGAGAACCAGCAAGCTTCACGCAAAGTATCGTCCTGCAGAGCAACATGCGGAGAGTCTCGCCGTCGATGCCCTTCACGATGCGGCGGATGGCACCTGCAGCAGCGACGAAACGAAGACCGCCAGCGTTGCGTTCAGCATGGGTGTGAATTCATCGAAAGACCACACCTCAGGGTCAATAAAAACAGGCTCCCCGCCAATTTGTCCCACAAAAGGAAACTTCATGGGTGAGCTCGTTCACCCAGGCGAGCTTGTTGTATTTTGTCTCGAGGCTTGGAAAACTGGGCGCAATTTTGAAGCGTTCTCGATTTAGAAACAAACACGTATTATGGGTGAGTGACTGCATTGTGAACTCGTTCCGAGTTCCCTTCACCTTTGCGCATTCAAGCTCTGTCAAATGGTTTGGATGTTTCACTGCATGTTTTTTTCTTCAGAATCCCCTGCAACACCGTTGCCACGTTCCATCCACAAGATCCGTGTTCCTCCCTAGGATCTTTTATTACTTCCGAAGTCTTGAGCAGCCTTGAGCAAGAGACCTGCGCAAAAAGAAAAATAATGAACCTCCCTGAACCTTTTTTTCCGCCCCAAAGGTCGGGCGAAATGATTCACCCGGCGCCCTGAAAAAGCAAGTTGAAGTCCCCGGAAACATACGTTGTATATTGTATCTATATGTATACATGGCTTGCAACTCCTGAAATGGTGCACCCTCATATTCCCATGTTCGGAGCATAGAGGTTCACAGGGCCCGCGGGTCACATGGCCCGCCTTTTTAGCCCCGATCGCCTCCCAGGGGTTACAAGTTATGTCCTGTTCATCCTAACCGGAACCCTGTGGCTTCGTATCAGTCGGTTGAAATCTAAACATCGCAGTGGGAAACTCACTTGCACCCCGAAAGGGCGAGTGTAAGGACCACAGCTTTCGCCTGCGGACCACTGAATTTTTCCGGGGAGAAACTTGGTCAAGTGTCCCTGCATATGAAAAGGCACAGCAATTCGAACAGGAGAGAGGTTCTGGCAAGAATTAACATCATCCAACCCCTTGTTGCTTCCTGTGCGGATGTCTAGCGCGTTGTCCAGCGCCCAGGATTCCTGCATGGCATCCATGCATTTGCCTTTGCTTATAGGGCACGGGACAAAAACAAACAGTTGGGGGTGACAACAACCAGCCAACATCTGAACAATGAAAATTGTCAATTTTCTTGTGACTTGGTGTTTCTCAAAATATGGGCGAATAGCAGTTCAAATGGCTTGCTTTCTTTTGGCTTCCCTTTAAAAGCGACACTCCAAACTGGGAGTGCCCAAGTCCCGTCGACTGTTAGTTCTACCGGCATGGCTAGAAAGGTTTACAAGTTTGCATAGTCCTTCCCCATGAAGCCAGATAGAACCACATACTAAAAGGAGTCATAATCAAAACCCGGTACTAAAATGGTCGTAATCCCAGAACCATGCTTCAAGAATTAAGATGGCGGAATTCAGCAGCTATTTGTGGTTGGGATTGTCCCTTACTAACCTTCATCTACCGGGTTTTGATTGTGGCTCAAATGGCCAACAGCGGGGTTTTGGGCGCTGCGCACCCACTGCCTGCAGAGGACCCGTCTTGCATCAGCAGCAGCTGCACACGTCCCTCGGTCAACCGACATGCTTGGAGGTTTCTTTCTGGGGGGATGTGCCGACGTTGGGCTCCATTCTAACAATGTGGGGAGACGTGTTCCAAAATAGAGGGGCCCGAAAAATTGCCTAAAATATTGCTGGGCTCTTTCTGAAACACCATCAAACGGGTCATGGATTTGAGGACGACTCAAGTTCTGTCCATTCGAGTCCTCCGAGGTGTAAAACGACCGCAGCCCAAGGGCCGGCAACATGAAAATGGCAATCAACCAAACACGGATCCCGAGGATGCCCCAAGGAATCACATCAAACCAGGAGGCTGTTGTTGGGTGCTTCGTTTGCTTTTGAAGGACTTCCACCCCTCGAGGGACGAGGCCCTCCTGCAATTCGTTCTTTCCAGCGTGTCGATCAAGCCAAGCCGTCAAGAGGGAAGGAGGGTTCCTTCATTTGAGTTCCGAGTACCCGCCTTTTCAAGACCCATGAATTTATCTGGATTTCCTTGAGCTAAGCAGCTAAGCCAGGCTTCAACCTACTGGCCAAAACCACATGGCTGCGACCTTTTCCGCGGATCCCCCGCACCAACCACGGGGCAGCTGCAGCGGACCCTCATGAACCGACGGAACCCTCACAGAGTTCCCTCCTACCTCCCACCCTTGTCGTTTGGAACCTGATGTTCGGGACCCACTTCCTTTGAAAGAAAAATGCTCCAATCCAGGACCCCCCGAAAACCTCGGGTTCCATGTGAAAAGGGTGGAAGGGTATGCCCTTCAAGGATCACCAAAATGTCAAGAGGACATTCACAACGTACATTCACCCCAAAGGTGATGCAGAAAAACAGCTTTCAAGCGGAAACATGGTTGTGTCTTTTTGGCAGCTCCCCGTCTTGGCTAGCCTGTCAAGGGAAGCCAAAAGAAAGCCGCCGCCAGCTCTTTGTCTGAGACCCCCCCTATTTTGAGAACGCAGGAAATCCAAAAACCGGTTTGATGCGTTCGGACATGGGAAAATCGGGTCGTCTCCCTGGCTTCTTACATGTCCCCATGCCCGCCCAACAGTCTGTATGGGCACCCTTCGCCCCAGTGCCCGGACGCCCAGAGGTCCAGGCCCACTTCCGCACCGCGTTCACCACAGGCGTCTGGCCAAAGTCGGCTTGGCTCCGAAGCTTTTTGCCCCAAACTCTGCAGAAAGCTGACCCGCCCATGCCCAGTCAAAGCGAACGGGCCGCACCAACCTGCAGAACCCCTTGGGGTGAGATCAACCGTACATGCGCAAGCCGCGCTGATGATCAACCCACGGCTTTTGATGAGGAGATGCCTGAGACTCGGGAAGAGCTTGAGTCAAAGAACAAACTGCGCGTTTTCACAGGCCTCTGAGCATGAAGGGGAATCAGTCAAAGACACAAAGCAAGAAGAGGCAATCAATTCAGCTATCAGCCAGCCTCAATTATTCTCACAAGAGGAGTAAAGGGACACATGAACACAAATCTAGGCAAATTGCCATCACACACCCGCAAGAAAGAAGCCTTCTTGGGTGAGGCCGCAAAAGATCCTGCGAGGATGCTGAGCCCGAAGTTGAACAGAATGCTGAGCCGAGCGGCATCATCATAGAGGAGGTCAAAGACTCTCCTGTTGAAGAGAAAGTCCTGCGCCTGCCGATCGCTGTTCTCGACTGCCCTCGAAACAGGCGAGCCCCGAACCCGCTGGGGAACAAAAAAACAGAACAGGCCAGCAACTCACCCAGCAGCAAAGCCATCCGCATCCCTTCCTGCAAGCAACCTTTGATCAATCATTAACTCGGCAGACTTGCCTCCAACAGGCCTAAACTGCAGGCTTCGTTGATTGTCTCGCTGCCTGCGGCAACCTGAGCCAAGCCTTCAAAGAGGATTGCAGCCCGATGCAGGGGCCACCTTTTTGCTCCACCGCTCGCCGCACGTGGCGTCTTTCCAGCGGCCAGAGATCTGTGCGCGCTGCTCGGGTTAGGGGGCCTAGCCTCCTCGGGTTAGGGGGCCCGCTCTTGTCATCTGAGTCTGGAATTCTGACTGGGCCATTCACAGGCGCTCAGGCGTATTTGGGGTTCTCGGGCATGTCCATGTTGTCCTCAGTGCCCCAAACCCACTGGCCAGCGAAGCCCAAAAAGAAAGGTAAGCAAACAGATACCGTAAGGGCCTACATGACTGGAGAAAAATGCGACACCAAGACAGCCTCTCCGCGGCTTCCAAAGCCTAAGACCGTTGAGCCATCAAAACCATCAGATTGCATGCTAGGAGCTCGCTCGGCCTTCACATCAATGGGCGACCATCGCAAGAATTGATTCGCCAACTCCTGAAGCCTGCACCCTCTCTGCCCCGTGGTTTACCAAAAAAAAAACACACGGACCTTCCGGGCCTCGCCGGGAGGTCCGGTCCAGGCGCTTTCGCTTCCGCGGGGCTTTCGGGGCCCGACCGCCTCTCGTCTCTCATCCGGGCCCCGGGCTCCCAGCTTCACCTGCGAGGCGCTCGCTCTCCGCGACTCCGACTCGCCCGGAGAAGCCGAAGCGCCCCACCCCCCCCAAGCAGGCGGATCAGGGAAGAAAAACGCCGTCACGGGACCGGAGAAAACCCACGGAAATGGTAAGGGATGCCGAGACTCCCAAAAGAAGCTGCGTGACATTCACCACTGTTGTGGGTATTATCCGAGGGTGTTTGTTCCACCTCCCCCTGCTTTTGTGGACACTTGAAGAGCTTCCAACTTGAATCACACCGGTAAGAGACTTGTCTGAAGCGCGGAATGCTTGGATGTGCACGCATTGCAAGATATACAACAACGCGCGTTTACATACCATATGTACATATATATATATATATCCCACAATGCGTTGTGGACACAGGAGCCCCGAAGGGTGCTTGGCGGGGGGGGGGAGGGGGGAGTAGGATCCCCCTTCCGACCAAAATTAACATCCTTGTTCTTTCGAAGGGTTGCTGGGGTTGCAAAAAATAAACGCTGAGAAAGTGCTACTTCAAAAGTTGCTTCAAACAACAAATCTACACACGCTCAAGACGCACGGAGTTGAGGATTGAAACCCCTCAGATATGAGGGTCATAAATCCCATGAGGCCTATGAGCCCTGTGACATGAGGCCTATTCCTCGCCCCTTCTCCCATCGCACGAGTCAGGACCATGTGAAAAATGAGCCCCTTCTTTTGTAAAGTGGCTAATTCCCATGACGAGTTATATCACTTTCAGGGGATTCCCTTGGCTCAAAAACAGCCGGCCCTACACAGGGTTCCCCATATATCTTTCCCCACATGGTGATGGGCCCCAGGGCCAGTCATGGTTTTCAACCCTTAGGGCCCTGAGGTTCACCAACATGTTCAACCCCATCATTCCCGCCCCATCTTTGTTCGGCCCTTGCTTTATTTCTCACCCGCATCAAGCACCATGACAAATTCTGACCCGCTCCCCTACCACCAGCTCACCCCTCGGACTGGCCGCGTCGACACGTTGACCGAGCGGCGATCACCACGATGGCCGTCAAGAAGGCCACGGCGCGGGCGATGGCGCGCTGCTTGGGCGTGAGGTACTCCTGTGGGAAACCGCGCTTCGGACCGTCGGCCAAGGGTCCGGGGGTGCTCGGTGAAAACCAAGAAAATATGCACATGGGTCTATGTCTGCTTTTCTTGTTGCTCTTTCGGCCGGGGGGGGGAGATGCACATGATACTTAATATGTGCGTGTTCTTGTTTTTTGGTGGGGGGGGGGGTTGTTTTGGGGTGGCCTTCTTACCTTGGCTTAAAGCGGAACCAACAAGAAAGCCACCCATTTTGAGGCACCATATCTATTGGACACCCGCACACATGAAAAAACAAGTTGTTGTGCGAAACCAACTGTGATCCATGTTGAATAGGAAACCAATGGTATGGAAACCAACCCGTGCAGGTGTATGGGAAAACAAGTTGTTTTGCGTTCAAAGCGTATACACGCGTACGACGTGTTCACGCTGCGATGATACATGAGAAAGACAAAGGATGGTCAAGATCTAGTCTAGACTACGGGTCCCTGGGATCCTGTTTTTGACCGCCACCACCAAAGGCTTGTTGGTGTCTTTCAAAGCCAGAATGAAAACGATTCCCCACTTTGACGTATACCCACGCCACTGAAAAGATTGGGTAGAATGGCAGCTGGTTTAAACCGCAACCATGCAGAGTTCTCAGGATTTACGAAACAATGCCCGGCCAGTGAGAGGGAACCAAGGTGATTCGAGATCAAGTTTGGACTACTGTAAGAACAACCGCGTGCCTCTCTCGAGAAAAGGCTCCGTTCAAGGTTCATTGCACCTGTGTCTTTATAAATGTTCTGCTATTTCTGCACATGCACACATGAAGACCGGCGCGAAAGCTGACATTGTGTTTTGCAGTCTGCTGTTGACAAACGGGAAGTAACAACCAAATACGAGGCTGAACCAAAACTTAGACACAAACACAGAGTTCTGGGGCAAGTTGACTTGCTGCCAAGATTTGATGGATAAAAAGCATGCCAATGCTTCCTGCATGACTCCTTCTCCAGTGAAGAATCAAGCAGGATGCCAGATCTTGGAGCTAAACCTTGGCACTCTTCTTAGATATGTTTTGTTTGGGGGCAAAAATGCGAGGTGTTATTTCCCTCACCGGTGTCACTCAGCACCTTTCGGGGAAGACGCGAAAAAAGCGTCGGCGCCGACGAGTTCGGAGCCAGGCCAGGGCCTCATCCTATGCCGCACTCCGTGGGTCGAAACCCGAGAAACCCATCTGGTGAACATCAAAATAGGGTTTGCTTCTCGCGAGCGTGAAGTTTCTTCTCAGGAGAAGATCCTTTCGCATTTCTTGGGGTCATGTGAGTCATACCAGTGAACATCCCAATCCCCACTAAAATAGACTAAAATGGATGTTCATCCACCCCAAAATGGGATGGCCATAGGTTATGCCCCTTGGGCAAATAGCGACTCATATCCCCAAACATCCCCCAGGGTGGCAATCCTTGCTGAAAACGGCACCTGCCTCAACTCAAAATCCCATCGACTTGCCCCCCCAAAGCTGGCACCCCACGGGAAAAGGTCAAACTTCACCCCCCTTCCATGTCCTTTCCATTTCCTTTCCATTTCCTTTCCATTTCCTTTCCATTTCCTTTCCATTTCCTTTCCATTTCCTTTCCATTTCCTTTCCATTTCCTTTCCATACTGCCTGTCCGTTAGTCGCATTTGTGCCTTGCTTTTTGTGGTTGATGGCTTTTCTTCGTTGATTGAGCGCCATCCCCCCCCCCCCCAAGCGCCCCCCCCCGTGCAGTGGACACTCCTGCGCCATTTTACGGTCACCATTCCCGTGTAAAGAGCGAAGCCGCGACTACGGCGGGCCCTGCGGGCGCGGCGGGCGCGGCGGGCGCGGCGGGCGCGACGGGCGCGGCGGGCGCGGCGGGCGCGGCGGGCGCGGCGGGCGCGGCGGGCGCGGCGGGCGGCGCAGCGAGCGCGGCGGGCGGCGCGGGCGCGGGCGCGGTGGGTGCGGCGAACGCGGGCGCGGGCGCGATGTGCGCGGCGGGCGTGGGCGCGGGCCCTGTGGGTGCGGCAGGCGCGGGCGCGGTGGGCGCGGCGGGCGCCGGCGGGCGCTGTGGGCGCGGCGGGCGCGGCGGGTGCACACCAAAAAAAGACAAACCCATATCTCTATTTATCTATCTGTCCATCTGTTTATCTATCTGCGTCGCATGTTTAACAGTTATACTGTCCGGCAGTGTTCAACGTACCGCCCCCCCCCCCTTTTCCGCCCGCTTTCCGGCGGTCCTTGGGAGGCGGCCGCATGAAGGGCAGCATGGCTCCGGAGCTCCTGCGACTCTTTTGGGCGACAGCTCTCCACCCCTTCAACCCTTTGGGGTGGGGGTGTGTGGGGGGGGGGGGGGTTGGGGGGGGTTGGGGGGGGTTGGGTTGGGCGGGGGTTGGGTTAGGGGGGGTTGGGGTGTGTGTGTGTGGGGGGGGGGGGGTGAGGTCCAGCTCTCTGCCACCCGGAACCCCTTAACCCCCTCAACCCGCCCCGCCCCCACACAAGGCCAAGGCCAAGACATTATAGCGCTCAAGCAACATAGTCCGCTTTGGGGCAACTATTGGAGAGACCAAAGCCAAGCTCAACATCTGAGAGATTGATGTTCGGCCATTTGATGTTTTAGCGTCAAAGCTTTTGGTTTTTGGGTGGCTCTGAATGTGCGCTGGCCTTGGGGCAGTTGGAGGAGTGTTTTTATGGCACCATGGACACCCAAAGGCTGTCTTGGCACCCTAAAAGAAGGCGGTTGCAAAACATTTTTGTTATGGCAAGGGCGGAGCCACCCCGCTCCCCTACTCCCTCCCCTCCCTTACCCCCGACTAAAACTCTCGTGCATGGCTTCCTTTCAGAACTCAACATACCGGTATTCGGCACCCAGAACAAAAAATTGTTTTGCGATTCCAGGCTTAACGCTATGAACTCGCTGAACCGCGGGTCTGCCTCTCGAGCCCGGGGTTCCCTATGCTCGTCCCCGTTGAGGAAATTCGCGTGCCAAACTGCCAAACTGCCAAACTGCCGTTGAACCAACCCGGGAAAGGAATATCAAAGCAAATAACATTTAACGCCACCAAAACAGGGGTGGCAAAATCTCACTTCCACGCTTTCTCCCGGACAACTCCTTTCGTGCTCTTTTTCAAGAGCTTCTCAAGTCCCGCAACTCGGCCCCTCGCCGACCACGCCCCCCACGCCCCCCACGCCCCCCACGCCCGCCCGGCGGTCCCGGCAAGGCAAAAACGGGACCGGCGAAGCCCTCTGGCGCGGACCAACTTGAGCTCACGGCTTCGGCCCGCGCAGGCTTCTTCAGGCTCGCGCAGGTTACGCGAGGCCCGAGGAAATTGGAATCGTTAGATGCACGCTACTGGCAGGGGAGAGGGTTGGGGAATGAAGCTATGAAGCTATGAAGCTATGATCATTGCCAAAGGAAGATCACATGAGTGCGGGGTAACAAACTGAAACCGCATCATCATAGTGTTACTGTGAGTGTCACATTCTTGGGCTTGGTTCAAAGCAAAAGGGAAGATCATATGGACCCGCAGGAACGGCAACGCTCTTCTCGCATTTGGCGAAAACAGTTCACGGATCAGAGAAAATCATGCACGTCGCTTCTGAAAGATCCTGACCGGCCACTTCGAGCGGTCCCCAGGGCTTGCCACAAATTCAACACAACCTCACCTTTTACCAACCAACCCAAAAATGGAATGTCTAGATTCTGGCCCAAATGTAGCGAGACTTCGGATCTCAATTGTTGTCAAAAATGAGAGGTCCAGAATCCCCCCCCCCGACAAACCAGGAAAGGCAGAAATCCGCCTCGAAAGCCAGAAAACATCACCCCTATTTTGAGAAACACCCATGTGTAGAGGTCCACCGTTTCTTCTCTCGCGCAACGCGACCAAACAGCACTTCGGGGGAAGGCCTAAAAAGTCGGGGGGTACCGCGCACGAAACAAGGGAGCTATTGACTGCAGAGACGGGTGGGTGCATGTTTTGCCATGGTGATTTTGCTGTCCTTCCCTTGCACCTTCGGCCGGGTCTCGGACTATATTTTCCCTGGTAGTTCTTACATATCCCCATCTTGGCCTTGAGTGTCTCTTCGGCGATGTTTCTTCAGGGGGAAATCCGGGGGACCATTTTTTTTTCTGGCGCCAAGACCCGAGGCCTTGGACATCCCTTGGTTTCTTTTGGCAAACACCAAGATTCATCGCCTTGAGGGGTCCCGAATTTTGAGAAACACCCACTTAAGCAACAGCAACGCACGCGCATGTCCAGTCAGTCTAGGCGCCGCGGGCTATGGCGTGAAAATATGAGACTGCAAAGTACTGCAAAGTCCCATTGAACCCAATTGATGGGGAATCAGCTCCTCCCCCGACTCACCTGTCTGAAAGCACCCCACAGAAAAAGGTTCATCAGCTTGAGTGCCATATTGATTTAAAAGAAAGGCCACGCAGACACAACTCGGAACCAAGTTCAAACTGGAAACTATGGGACCCAAAATGATGGGGTGTCTGCTGGTCTCCCTTCAATTCAATACCTTAGTACCTTCAAAAACACACACACACACACACACACACACACACACACACACACACACAGACACACACCCACACCCCCACACCCACACACACACACACACACAACACACACCACACACACACACACCAAGCTGAACAAGGCACAAATTGCTAGCTTGCCTTGCCTCCCTTTCCCCTGAAAGCTGCGTTTTTTCTCCAACCACGACTGTCTCTTCGGTCTTTGACCAGAGTACCACCAGTACCCCTGGACAACACTAATGCGCATAATTAACCTGCGACTAACGGGTTCTCCAGTGTGCCTATCGCAGATTGCCATCATATGCAAACAGCTCGCCATGGCGACGCAAAGCAACGATCTGGCCAATGGCATAGTGGTGAACCCAGAAATAACGACGCGGCGATTCCCGGGGAAATCAAACCTTGGCTTGCAATGGCTGCGTCTCCTTTGCTGACCAACCAAGGCAAGACATAAATTTGAGGTCGCCCTGTTCTCAGGGACCTCAACGCCGAGGCCGTCAGACGTCATGCACCCTCATCATGAACACGAGAGACGGACGGAAACGGGTTGTCGCTCTGCATAAGCGCAAGCTATGCTCATCTTCTATCATTGAAGCTTGTCTCTCGATTCTCCCCAGGCGAGATGTCCCGCTGAAAATGTCAACACCCATGCCGTGTTCAATCGATGTCTACAAGCCATGGGAAACCTGAAATCGGTGGCAGCCGCATTCGTGAAGTTGAACGCCGGAGTGAGTCTCTTGCAGCTGGGCAGCCCTCTGGCTGACGCACTAGTTGTACTCGTGAAAACCATGCGCAGGGCGTATGGCAAAAAGGCTTAGCCTGTTTCCTAGGCAAAGCAGGGCCACAGTTAGAACAGCGAAATGGTCCAGAGCTCTTCTTGGCCGATCCGCTCCGAAATGCATCAGCCACAAGCGAGGGCTATCGCCTCAGCGCCTCTCGCCCCCAAAATCCCTCGCGGGCTGACTGCGGGCGATCTGTACAGAAGCAGCTCCTCATGTGCCGCACGCCGACTGGTAACCCGGCGTGACATGCGTAAAAAGCGAGTCTCCAGCCCGATAGACACCCCCCAGAACGCATCCAAAAAGAAACTGCTCTTCTTTCCGCTTCCGCTGCACCTGTCGGTCGCGAAGGGAGCCTAAGGCAAGTGCTATGTTAGTGGGAGGGAGGGCAATACAGAGGCCTAAATAAGTAGGAGAACTTTAAACCTGATTTAGGCACGATTTCAGTGGTAATACTACTAGTAGGTATTTTGCCTGTTGCTGTTAATACGTTTCTGACCCCCCTGGGTTTAGTGGGGATTCATCACTTTTGCAGGAGAACACCCCCATATTAATAGGCCGGGGCTGAATCTGGGTCAGCAATATACTCTTGCATTTGCCTAAGCCACGTGGAAAAAAAAAAAAAAAAACATATTTCCAGTACTGATGGATTCCTGTTCAAACAAACCAGGGAATATTCAAACAAACAAAAAAGCGAATGGTTGTATTTCTCGGTTGACGTTGGAAGGGGAGCAAACATGTACCACAATAAGCAAACATGCAAAATGTTTCCCGACAACAACCGTGATACCCCCAAACAAACCCCACGCCACCCAATTCCAGTCGGATCTCGGCGTCGAGTTCCTGCTGCCCAGCCCGGCTCACAGATCCTCCCACTCCATCGCCTCAAGGCGACAAACCCTTGGGAGACCCCAAATGAGTCACAATCAAAACCCGGTTTTCAGGGTTCGTTTGGGCGACGCCAGGTTCAAGGCGCAAAGAAGGGGGGGGCCAAAACGCGGGTGCAAAAATGGTTTACCCAGAACCATGCTTCAAGAATTAAGGCGGCCGCACCTATTTATGGTTGGGATCGTCCCTTACTAACCTTCATCTACCCTGGTTTTGATTGTGACTCAAATGCGGTGTCCCTTGGGCGTGGTCATGAAATGTGGGAAAAAGGGTAAGAAAGCATTTTAAATGAGCCTAGCTGGGTTGCCCTCCAAAACGACCCCTCTCATGGTCCTAGTTTTTGACTCAGTTTGGCATAGTCAGGTGTTGGGCCGTTTTGGACGTTTTCAGCCCGCGCATCCCCAGCATCGCCGGCCTACGTCCAGACTGAGGCTGTTTATTGGCTTTGATTTGGTGGCAGCTCAGAGTTGCTCAGGGCTGGTTTTGGGCGAGTGTTGGGCTTGCTGAGGTCTTATATAATGAGGGCGGGTCTTGGGTTTGTTTTGGGTTCATTTAGGCTTGGTAAAACTCTGATATCGAGAAAGCTGTTGGGAGGGTTTGAGGCTGACTTTGAGTCGGTTTGGGTTGGCTTGGAGCTGATTTGCGCGAGGTGGCGGCTCGTTTTTGCAGTAGCCTTTTGGCTGCTCTTGGGATGTGGCTGCGCAAGTTTTGGGCTGGTTTGGGATGTTTGTCGTGCGAATTGTGACTGGGGACTCCATGGATGCTGCCATGTTCCCGCTGAAAAGCATACCCATGCTTGTGAGGGGGATGCCAAACAAGATGAACGTCTGTGCGATGACCCGAGCTCGAGTGCTTTCTCGAACAGGAGCTGACCGCAGATGGTGTGCTCAGGGTACTCGGAGGTGGAAGAGAGACATAGGGATAAGAGCTTCGGGTGGTTGAGGGCGTCTTTCTCTTAGAGGTTACCAAACCGCAAAGGTAAGCCACCGATATTGGGAGGTTCACCATGAGTCAAACCTGCACGTTTCGCACCGGCAGCCGAGTTTCGCAGGGCTTCGCCGGAGATGCGTGAGGCAAGAGGCGGGAGCCGGATGCGCTTTGCGCAGTCCCATGAGCAATGTTGTCATCTTTGTCCGGGCTGTTCCCAGATCCCTGCCTAAAGAGTGGAAGCTACCACCAAGCCAAAAGAAGAAGAACAAAAAAAAAAAACACCTAAAAACCCGAGGAACCGGATGGCTGGAAACCAAACATGTTCATGTGGATGCAGGTGGAAGGGGACATGGACAGCATCCGAAACCCTTTTGAGAACGGAACTTCCGTTTCCATTTGCTGTGCTCCTGTGGGTGTACAATGCCCCACAAGAAACTCCTCTGATGTTTGAAAAGGATTGAAATGCAAAATATGGGTCTTTCCCAAGACTTCCGTGGATTCACTTTTTGGCACTTGGCAGAAACCAAGAAGTTGGAAACTAAGTCAGCCCTTTTCATTGCCTGTCGCCAAAAAGTCCGGCACCCTTCCGCCAAGCGGCGTCGTCCTCATCGTCGGAGTCCTGTACGCTGGGAGAAGGAGCAAAGGTGGAGGGACTGAAGTGCTCGTCGAGGTCCTCAGACGTCTCAGGGAATTTGGGCTCGCCCGGGAAAAAGAAAGAAGAAAAAAGACATCAAAGACAAACGAAAAATGTATGTCATTCACTGTCTGCACCATCAGTGCTGAGTTTGGATCAATCGCACCTCACAATGTGCCCTGCAGAGCCACGCCGACCATGCCCAATATGACTCCAAAAGCGTCCCATTAGACCATTGCATATCGAGGTTACTCTGTTCTTTGTGGTATCGTACTTTTTGCTCTGGATATATCAAAAAATGTAGGTCCGATCATGTCCCGTGAAGCCAGGCGGCTGCCCGCGCGTGGAACGGGATGTGCTTCTTATCCACCTCGCAATTGGACGGAAGGAGATTCGCCGTCCTTCTGGAAAAAAAGATTGCACTTAGATGATTAGAGCTCCACTGAAACCAGTCTATGTTCATGAAAAATGGCCTCAAAAGGACACCCATGGCCCTTGCCCCTCCACGGCAACGTCTGTGCCCTGAGACCATAGGTGTCCTTTTAGGGCAAATCGATGGGTTTCCCTGGTAGATGAGCAAAAACCACCGGGTTTCCCAGGGCCATCTGTTCTTCTACCAAACCAACAAGGACACTGCTTGAGAATCTGGGGGCAGGTCTATTGCTTGAGCGTCGCCCGAATCGCGCAGGGTCCACACAGCAATCCACCGTCACAGACTTGTGGGCGACCCCCAACAATATGCCTGTGGCTCAAATAAATGTACCAAAATGGCACCCGGGCAAATCTAAAACCTGCGTAACCCTAGCTCTTGAATTTTGAGCCACACCCACATATCAAACCGTTGGCAAAGAATCTTGCTTGCATGGCTTCAGAGGCCCCTTCAGCTTTCACCCGCCGTCGAGTTCATTAGACTGGTCGTCTTCTGTCAATAGGAAACATCTGCTCTTCATTCTAAATTGTGAATGAAATGAACAAATGTAACTTCCTGACACCCTGGCTTGCCATATAGGGCTTCAATCGCAAGTAGCGGAATTGGTACAAAATAACCTGTATTTTCCCAGGTGCACCCCATGTTCGTCCCCGAAATTATTCTTCGGGATCTGTCGCTTTTCTTGCGTCTCCGAGGCGAGGGCAAACTCGAGCTTCAACCTCAGCCCCCAAAGAACGTATCTCCCCGCACCCATGGAGGGTCCACTGAAACAAATGGCCACTGAAGTGAAATGCCCAGGCAATTCTGCGGCATCTTGGTTCCGCCCATCTGACCAGGCTGGCCAACAAACATCCCGGAAACAGATGAGCCATCCGCAAAATCCATGTCGTGGACATAGGTTGCTGTCAGGATTTTGGGGGAGACTTGGGCCAGCACCTGTTGCACGTGTTCGGCATGTTGGGCTTGCTCCATGGTTTTGCATGTCATGCCATGGTGCCGAAAAGAGCTGTCTAACTAGAGGCATCTGCTTTCGAGGTGGGAAGCCTTGGACAGAGAAATGTTCGTGTGCGCGCGTGCGCGCGTGTATGAGGTACCCCAGAGAAATCATCAAACGAGAAGCCTCGGTTTTGGTTGAGTGGTTTTCCCCCCCCCTTTTGGTGCTGCGGTACGGGAACAGTTCTGCACGTTGATGAAACACTTCCCGGCCGCTCCACTTAGGGCACGTCCAACGGCCCCGGCATTCAGCCCATTGCTCCGGCCCTGTCTGTTGCAAAAGTGGGTCTTCGGCATGGCAGGCGGGGGCACCCCGACTTTCTGCGCTGATATAAGGGATCGCCAAGTTCATGATGGGTGTCCACCGAATCGGTGCGCGCGCTAGAACTACAACAACTAGGCAGCAAAACGAAGGGGGTCGCCTCCCTGTCCTTCCCACGAAACAAACGGATCTTCGGCTTTCTGCTTGCAGCTTGACTTGGCAGAAGTGTCTCCCCATAAACCCAGAAACACAAACAGAAGACAAAACATGGATTCTCATATCCACCCAAGCATTAAATGCTGGCTTCCTTGTCTTCTGGAGAAACTTCATGCTTTAAATGAGCTACCCCCTCTCCCACTAACATGGCCACCTAACTTGCAGGTCCCTCCAAGAGGAAAGTGATCTCGCAGGTACTTGAGTTGGCAAAGTGGGAGGAAGAGTAATTCTAGGTGAGGTTAGAATAAGGGTACCCTTCTTTCTGTAGTTTATTTTAGTAGGGGAACCCTCCCAACCCAAAAAGAAATGGGAGAGAAGGGCACCTAGGTTGTTCAACATTGGAGCCCGACAACACACGGCTCCCATCGGATCCAAAAAATCCGGATGGGTTTCCCTGGTAGTTGATGGAACCACCAGGAATCGAAACCCATGTATTTGTCAACCAAATCCACCAAGCTGGGTTGCTTTCTGCGAAGCCCTGCTAAAAGTTTAACCTTTAGTGGTTCAATGGAAAACCCATTAGTCGGCAAAAAGCTAAAGTCCTAACATCCAAGCAAAATGCACCAAAGCAAACAGGACACCTATGCCCACCACACGGTTTCCCCCAAAGCCGAGAAGCTCCTCCTGGCAGCCGGGTCTCTCAAGGTACCGCACCGCCGACCTCGGGAACCGCCCGAAGCGACCGTCCGGGCGAGCCGATGGAACTTCCCTCGGGGTTCACGTGAACCCAGAAAAACCTCCTGCACCGAGAAAAAAAGAAAACAGATATTCATATGAAACGAAGCGCTTCTTGCCGCCTTTGCCTATTACTGTCCCCAACCTTCATCTGCCCAGCCCAAGCTCATTCACGCTCCCAAGCTCGCGGCACCATCATCAGCAACTCCCCCGTGTCGGACAGGAAGTACGCAGTGCCTTTCGGCCGCGCAAGTCCAGAGCTCTGCATGGCATAGGCACTTGGATCCACTTCAGCTGCAACTGCAACCAAGAATCCATAATCCCGACAGGTTGAATTCCACTACAAAGGGGACCAAAAACAATGCCTTCGCAACCCAAAAAAACGATTCATCTTTAAAAAACAAGAGAGAAATGGAATCGCCCTGCTAGAAGTGCGGCCTTCCAATTTGGGACTTTGGCTCGCCCGGACCTGAGCCCCAAACGATCAGCAGGGCTGGTTTGGCAAGTGCCCCTTTTTGAAAATGGAACTTTGTCGCTTCAAAAGTCACCTCGGCATCAGTGTCTTCCGTTGCAGGTGACCCCCTTCATAGCTGGCTGCTCGGTGCTCGGTCCCGTTACGAGTATTTGAAGTGCGAGAAGACCGATCGTGAGCTGCCTCGCTCCAGAATGCCCCGGGCCAAACTCGCGGGTAAACAAACACGAAGCAAGCGAACGTAGGCGTCCTTATAAAGGAAATACATGGCCCCGGTAGATGAAATTTACCACCAGGTAAACCAGGAATCGAAACCCATCTACTTTTCGACCAGAACAACCAAAAAAGGACACCTCTGCAAGTGCACAATTGCCAGTCCAGGCGGCCATTGGGGTCGAGCGCCACCTTGGCCACCCGTGCCAGCCGTCCAGACGAGTTCACAATCGGCTGCCATCCGCGAGGAAGTTCTGTCAGCCTGGGCGAGCGCCGCCTTCGTCGCAAGGCGACGAACTCAGCTCAGCTGTTTATCGACTGTGCTACCTGCCGGCTCAATTCTCTCCCAAACGAAGAAAAAGAAAGAAGCCGCCCTTCTGCCAAAACTCACTTCCTGGCAAGATAAGGTCCCCCACCAAAGGAGATCCTGCTAGCATGCTTTCATGTACACAAGGTTTATCCATCCCCCGCTCTTTGCATCCTGACAGGCAACGAATGCCACCACCTCCCCATTTCCCAAACAACAACTCGGCGTGAAAACCGTAGTATGGTGGATGCGTTTCGGCCCCAAATCTGTTTTGGACTCGACCCACACCTCTCCGCCAGGCTGCATAAATCCGTGGTCGTAGACCTACCGGTTGGGGGCGGCTCACCCTTTTTGAAGATGGATACCCAAGACGCCATAGTCTCATTGCAGGCTACGAAACCTGAAAGATCCTTATGGATCTGCGCTGGAAAGAGTTTTGGAACATTCGCGGGTGAACATGACGCAGAAAAACGGGTGAACGAGCGATGTTTGCTAGGACTCCGGAGGCAGTCTTCCCAGTTGTTTCATCTATCTGAAATGCATTCCCCAGGCAAAGTTACCAACCCCAACACAAGATTTCTTTTGCTACCTGTTAAGGATGCAAACTTCTGGGAATCCCAATCAAGCACCTAAATGAAGCACGCGGCGTTTGGTGCGCGCTAGGTTTGGTGGGCACTAAACTTTGCGTGGGGCCCCAGGGCCGGGAAGCGGTCAGATTCTTTTTCATACTCAAACCCCCCAACCTACCCAACAACTATCCACCTCAGTTTTCAGCCCAAGGCAACTCAGCTCGGGCTTGCCCAGCACAAATAGCGTGACGCGGCTGACACTTTCACGGGAGGCGGGAATAAGAGTGGAGGTTAAGCAGCAGCGCAATTTAGGGTGGGTTTAGGGTGAGTTTAGGGTATGGGTTGGGGTGGGGTAGCGTGGCCTAGGGTGAAGCCAAATTGGCTGAGTCTTGGTCTAAGGTTGGTATAGGGGGGTGGGTTTAGGGTTGGCGTAGGGCTTGCTTGGGATTTGGGCTGTAGCGGTGGTAGCGTGGGTGTACGGTTTGGAGCTGGCTTCTAGCGCGTGTCTGGCTTGCTGTTTGGTGTGGGTTTAGGGTTGGTTTCTGGTTGATTTATGGCGGTCGGGTTGGTAAACGGTTGGGTTAGGGTTGGGATAAGGGCAAGCTTAGGTGGCTAGCTTAGGTGGGGGCAGGGTCGGCTTAGGGCTGGCAAAGAGAGCCAAGGCAGGTGAAAACAAAGTCAAAAGCCGGCAAAAGCCAACAACTCACCAAGACCAAAGGTCTGCAGCCCTGAGAGCAGCCCCAACAGTCACCCCGACCGGCCCGACTCGACCGACCGACCAACCCTGGCCCAAACCCGTGGAACACAGGATGGATCAAGCCTTAGTTGACTGACTGCGGTGCATTTTGATTGGGACCCTTCGTTTGGGACAGCCCTCGTGGTAAATTGGGCTTGCGAGTTTCAGGGCTCTGGTTTCAGAGAGAGAACGGCAACTCCAACCGCCTCGAAACAACGAAATCCCCCGAAGAACCGACGGTGCTCCTCCGCGTCTAGGAACGCCCACAAGGTGAATGACCATCCCTTCGAGACCTTCTTGTGGGTGTGTCTCTGCTTTTTTGCAGGTATATATATATACCAATTTTGAGAGATTGCTTTTTAAGCCACAGCAATGTAAGGTCAAATGTTGTTGGAGGGTCGACAGCAACCATACTAGGAATCCCAAACAGCCAGAATGCGACCATGGCAAGCGCTCGCCGATCTCAAGAAAAAACGAATTGAGCCTGAAGGGGGTGTTGAAAGAGGTGCAAATCAGACACTCTTCATCTCGTGGCGTCCTATGACAAGCACCGGTCGAGGGAGCACCCCACCTGCTCCCTCGACCCCCTCCAACCCTCCCCCGGCCTCTCCAAACCTCCCCAACCCCTCCCCCCCCCGGGAGGTCGTGTTGGCGAACTTCCAGCGTTCCGAGCCTCGAAGACGATGCCCTGAGAGTCGATGGTCAGTTGCCTCAGGCCCGCCGCTCCGGAGAGCAGCAGCTGCACGCAGGGGTTGGTGCCTGAGTCCACAGTTTTGGCTCCGTTGCCCGGTTTGAGACGTATCCACAAGAGAGAGAGAGAGAGAGAGAGAGAGAAAGAGAGAGAAGAGAGAGAGGGTCAGAGAGAGGGGGAGAGAGAGAGAGGGAAAGAGAGGGAGAGAGAGAGGGTCAGAGAGAGGGGGAGAGAGAGAGAGGGAAAGAGAGGGAGAGAGAGAGGGTCAGAGAGAGGGGGAGAGAGAGAGAGGGAAAGAGAGGGAGAGAGAGAGGGTCAGAGAGAGGGGGAGAGAGAGAGAGGGAAAGAGAGGGAGAGAGAGAGAGGGAGCAAGAGAGTGGGAGAGACAGAGGGACAGAGAGAGGAAGAGTCGGAGGGAGAGAGAGAGAGAGGGAGAGAGACAGGGAGCGAGAGAGAGAGGGAGCGAGAGAGAGAGGGAGAGGGAGAGAGAGAGAGCAAGACAGCGTGAGTGATAATGGTAATGGTGATGATGATAGTGGTGGTGATTGACCTCAATGCAGTGACACAATGTCATGAACCCTACAGGTGAACACCCCCAACCCGGTCCACGCCCCTTTTGAAGCCTCATCCAAACCTTCTCCAACCCCCCATGCTCCAACCACCGTCTCACCCTCCCCGCGAAGTCCCCTCGCAGCAGGCTGGTCCTCAAATCCCAAAAAGGGCGGCGTCAGACCCCTCCCAGTTGCCGCGATCGTCAAGAACCAGCGGCTTTTGCACGTGCTTTTTCTTGCTGGTGCTCACAAGTGAATGAGGGAATGACCCTTATAAACCATCCAACCGGCAGTTTCCTTTAAGGGGACCCCCGGGGGTCCAGCAAATTTTGAAATGGTGGTGTCTTTTGGCTAGGAGTAGTGATCAAACTAATTAAGCATTTGCAAAGAGCACTCCGTCAGTCGAACAGGGCGTTTTTGCACACGCATGGTATTAACTTTAGTTGGGACCTTTGACATCATGCACAGGGTGGGGTTTGTCCACACAGCACTTTTGAGGGAGTTCGAACCATCACAATGCAAAGTAAAGAAAGACTCCAAAACTCAGAGAGCTCCTTTCTTGTCTTTGTCTTCTAAACCAAGCTGAAAGGATAGCCTCCAAAAAAACACACTACAAACGCACAGGCGCGCACACACCGAGCTGGACTCAGACAAATCCCATCCGAAATCTCTTACTCCGAGGTCCCGACTCACCAAGTTTTTGGAAGAGGTCGCACGGCACGGCACCAGACTCGTCGACACGTCCTGGCTCCCGAAATGGGAGAGGAACAAAAAATCAAGCGCGAGCGGAAGCGGGACATCTGCTTGGAGTCTGGGGGACATGCAGAACAACATGGAAAGATACGGAACTGAGGGAACAGAAAGCCGCAGTAAGCAATGCAGAAAAAAGATTCTGGTCATGGATGCCTGAATCACAAAAAATGGGCAAGAATGCACACATTGCTGCACGAAAGGTAAAACTAATTCTAGACCTCGATTTAATATGGACTAATGTTTGAGCTTGTCTTGCACCTAATTGCGCCTCCATCATTGGGGGCGAGATTGTTTGACATTAGCTTGCTATCATTAGTGCAAAAGCATGCTCAAAACCATTAACACGCTCGAATTCTGGAATCGCATTATTTCAGGGGTTGCGGTCAACGTTTGCAGTCATTGGGTTTACACCCGGGGCACATGACAACTTCTGGGTGCGTCTCGCTTGAGGGCACCCGACTACTGCGGTTTTGTCGAAGCCTAGGAGTCACGGTCAATAGACATTCTGTTGCCAACTAAGGGTGGATTTTCAAGCGAGCAACATGAGCTCCCAGCCAAAGCCATTAAAAAATGGCACCACCCCTTGCCATAGGTGTCCTTTTAGGGAAAATAGATGGCCCTGGTAGATGATCAAACCACCAGGTAAACCAGGAATCGCCATCTATTTTGCTACCAAAACAACCAAAAAGGACACCTATGGCAACCTCCAATTCCTACCATTAATTTGGTGAGTCTTCGCGATGAAGCAATCCACTTGCCCCACCCTAAACACACCTCGACTCGTCAAAACGCGCGCTCCCTGCTCCGAAGCGCCTCTGGCACGCACTTGAGCACTGGCACTTGGTCTGTGATCCGGCCTGAGCGTGGTGTGCTCTTTGATCTTCGGTGACACAAACAGATCAAATGCGAATAAGGTTGTGTCAGCAGCAGGTTGGCTGATAGTTTAAGCACTCGGACAAATGAACTCCCATCACATCATCGGGATTGTTTGGATATTTCTGCCACTACGTTTGCCAGCCCCTCCCCCGAAAACAAGGGCGAGTCTTTGAGACGAAGCGGTGCATACCCTCCCACCAATTGACATGGAACCTGACAAAGGGTCCTGGTTGGGGCCATTGTCCTTTTACAGGGACCGGGTCCCGAACGTCAGGCTCCATGTGAATTGGCGGGAGGGTAGTTTATTTATTAACTTTCAGAGGGTCTGTGCACCAGACCATGTTAGTCGGTGGAAGGGTATTAATTGATCTTCTCATTTCCGGGCTGCCCTCAGATCCCCCGCTAAAAGTTTAGCTTTTTGTGGGTTAAATGGAAATCCTACCACAAAACCAGCTAAAAGGCTAAACAAAAGTTAAAGAACCGGATGGCTGGGAGCCACCAAGGTTTTGTGGGTTCAATGGAAAACCCTTGACTTGCCCAAACCCAAAGCCGCAACCATGAGGTACTCAGGACCCTCTGGATATAGATCCCCACCCCCCCACCTAGGTCCTCCAGTGGAGAGGTTAGAATAAGGGTACCCGATTTTTGTCTGAATCCTATTTTAGTAGCCCTCCCAACCAGAAAAGAAACGGGTGAGAAAGGGCACGACTCGCTGGGCCACCTAGCCACCCCCCACCCGAGGGTTTTTGGGGCCACCCCTGCTAAAAAACTTAACTTTTAGTAGTTTAATGGAAAACCCATTTGTTGGCAAAAAGTTATCAAATCCCAACATCCCTTGGCAAACTGCACCAAAGAAACGATCTTCCTCCAGCCCATGGAAGGAAGCGGCTTTGGGAGGCTTAGCCTCTCATTTCTGTTTGGTCCCCACCAACCCCCTCGGGCTTCAGGGCCTCATTTTATGTAGATCCCCACCCCCAGCCAGAGGGTTCTGATCAGGGCCCGCGCGGCGCTTCATGGCCTCGTGCTGCAGCTCCTGCCCGCGCTTCAGCAGCCGCAGCGGTTCCTCCGCGGGCGAGGGTTCCTCGAGCCTCCGCCTCAGGCGACTCGCAAAAGGGCGACGGCGAACATGGAACTAGCTGCAAATTGGTCAGGCTATGCAGTGGGTGTTCATTAAAACAAGCATTGGGTGTTATTTATATGTTCATTGCTTTGTTTACTGTGTATATGGTTTAAAATAAAAAGTCACAAAAAAAGTGTTTTCTAAACACAATGTGTTTTATTTATGTTTATTGGACAAGCGACATGCCGGCTCCGACTTGCCCAAGGAAACCAACAGGTCGCCTGGGCCGGCTTTGGGGTTTGGGTAGATTCACGCGATAGGCTCTCAGAGTTGAAACTGTTCTGGCTCTCCTTTCAAGCCAGTCAAGAAAGTTGCAGAAACAGTTCCATGGTCAAAGAGCCCCCTTGCATTGAAAATGGGACCAAACCGCCCGTGTGGGCAAGAGGAGACTCCAACTGCCGCTGCAGGTGACTGAGAAAGCCTAGTCCTGACCACCTGAAACTGCAGACAGATCCCGATGTCTCTCCCTAAAAGGACCGGAGTTATTTTCTGAAGGTTTAGCACAACTTGGAACGAGCAACCTGCTGCAGGAAATTCTTTTTCGGGGTAAAAAACGGGCGCCCTGATGTGAGGTCGCTATTCGCGACCTACGCGAAACCACCTGAAATGCTTCCGAGAAGCCGCTTGTCCTTGGCACGACACGGACTTGGGATTGGAAGTTTCGGGCTCATGAGGACCCCAAGCAGGCACCGGGAGCATAACCGGCGAGCTCTCAACGGCAGGTCAATAGTCACATCCCTCCGCATCGCTGATTGGTTCTTCAGGGCGGGTCGTGTCAGCCATGTCCTCCAAACATTGGGTCTCGTAGCTTGTTGTTGTTGGTTTTGCCCAAGGTCATCCCCCCCGCTTGTCGCAAATGACTGGCATGCTGGTTGGTTGGGCCCATTGCAGAATGCCTACGTACAGCGACATTCTGAGAGAGGGATGCATTGAGGGGCTGGGGAGAAGTCAACTCTTGCCTTGAGAGATGAAGGCCATTCCCTCTCGCCTCTTTGATTCTCACCCTTCAAACTCCAACCCAGAAAAGGTCGCTTCCACATTGTGGCCCACACGCACCTGCAAGTGGCAACTTGCTTCTAGGGCTCCTTGTCATGGGTAGCTGTTGGAAGATTGGGGAACAGAGAGCAAGGCCCCCTAATCAGAACACATGGTCACATGGTGGCGGCGGTTCAATCAGAGAGGGACTCTGTGGCTGTCTGGAACCCTTTGGGGGTCGCCCAACCAAGTCCCCCCTCCCGAAAGCCCCATCCATCTTTGGCTTTACCACGTTCAGGCGAATAAATTAGAGACTTTCCGAACAGGGCGAGAAGTTACACCAAAGTGAAAGTAAATGCCACCAATTCCCTCTATGTGGGTGAGTCATGGGGGATGAAAACATAGACGAAGTGTCGACATCTACTTTCACGAGGCGGGCGGAGGTTATGGGACCATGCAAAGGTCCCCCGCAGGTAGGCCATAAGACTTGTCCTTGGAGAAGCTTGGGATCTCCGCGGCCGATTTTCCAAGGGTCCAAACAACGGGTGCGGATTTATTTTTATTTTTTTTATTTTTTTTCCGGATTTTTTTTTTTCGTTTTTCGTCCGGAAATGTCGTATTTTACAGCATTACACTAGCCCGTCAACATCCCCAGCATCGTTTTCAACATCCCCCGCATGTCCGACCAACATCCCTAGCATCACCAACAAATCGGGTAACAAAATCCAAAAAATGGCTGGCGGGTTGACGGTCAAAAAATAATGATTCAAACAGGAGGGCATGTCAATCCCAGTATTAAAAAAAAAAAAAAAACGGGAGGGTTGGGGGGGGCAGCAGTCCCCCCATGATGGTCGCAGAAGTGATGATTCGAATAGGTGTGCAATTAAATCTCAACTAGCAGGGGGGGTGGGGGGGGCGGCAGCCCCCCCCCATGATGTTCGAAGAATTGATGATTCAACTCGGGGTGCAATAAAAGCTCTGTAGAAAATCTAAGACGTAGCGGGGGGTTGGGGGGGCGGCAGCCCCCCCCCATGATGTCGGAAGAAGTGATGATTCAAGTAGGGGTGCAATGATTCAAGAAAGGGTGCGATAGAATTTAAAAGGCAGCGGGAGGGTTGGCGGGGGTGGCTTCCCCTATGATGTTCGAAGAAATGCATACATACAGACATACATGGATTGCACAGATTACCTAAAATGTCGTATTTTGCAGCATTTTCTCGCGAAATTGGACGCTCGAAAAAGTGATGATTCAAACAGGGGTGCAATTCAATCTGCAAGAAAACTAAAAAGTAACGGGGGGCAGGCGGCAACCCCCCCCCCATGATGTTTGAAGAAGAGTTGATTCAAATAGGTTGGGGGGGGTTCCCCCCCCCATGATGTCCGAAGAAGTGATGATTCAAAAAGGGTGGTGGTGATGCTAATAATGCGGGAAGCCAAATCCAAAAACCAATGAAAGGGCGCAAAAGCCAAAAAGCCCGAAGGATGCGAAAAGCCAAAGCCGCCAAAAGCCGCCAAAAGCCGCATAAACCAGCGAAAAGTCGCAAAAGCCAAAACGCCACCTGCCGAAGAGGAACTGAGGATGCAGAGGATGCGAAAAGCCAAAAAGCAACCAAAAGCTGCATAAACCAGCAAAAAGCCGAAAAGCCCAGAAGCCCAGAAGCCGAGAAGCCAAGAAGCCGAAAAGCCAAGAAGCCAAGAAGCCAAAAGCGAGAAAAAAAAAGAAGAAAAAAAAGAAAAAACGAGAAAAACATCTAAAATAAATACCCCTCCCCAAACAACTACCAGAATTAAATTCCTGGGATTGGTTCTTGGGCGTGTTTTGCTCCACAGGGCAAAAAACGGGCGGGGCGTCATTCAGAGGCTTGGTGGACAAGTGCGCCGGGGTTCCCCTACAACTAACATCAGAGCAAACCCGCGTTCAATCGGAACCCAAACAAGAGACCTCTGGACAGCAGGTGCAAATACACTTCTCGCACGGCCCCTTCGGCCGCCCAAAACGCAAAGTTTCTCGCGGCTGGGGGCCTTCTTTCTATGGTCAACTTGAAACTAACAGTGAGACCTGCCGTTTGGCCAAATCCCCTGATAGCTCAGCTCACTCTAAAACAAGAACAAATTTGGACGCCAGCTCGGAGTCCGGTTCCCTTCCAACCACCAGCTGGCCCCTCCTTTTTTCCGGCGCTTTCGCCCGGGCGGAAAACGGGGCTTTCGCTGAGGCGCCACCTCCTGGATGAAGGCCAGCGCGGGCTGCTGGAGCCCCGCAGACCTCAGCTCCTGCGCCACCTCCGCCAGGCCCACGCGCCGGCGCTTCCTCCTCAGACAAAACCCGCCGGGTGGCCAAGAAAAAAATCGGCGGGTGGACCAAATCCATGTCGCACCACTTGCAAACCATGGGTTGAAACCATTGTTTGTTGGTATTTACCAGGGAATCATCCTGCCGGGGAGTTTTACTTGCTGCAGGAGTTGGCCAAAACATAGCCTCCCCCACACTAACATGGAAGCTCCCAGGACCTTTTTGGAAGACTTGGTTCCATTTGCAGAGGCCAGTTGGGGGAGCTTCCATGTTAGTCTGAGGGAGTGTAGGTCACACGCCGTGGGCTCCAAAAACATCGACCAAAATAGGTTCTTGGCATATGGAATCAAAGACAAAAGACTTCGTAACCCTAGCTCTTGTATTTTGAGCCACACCCAAACTAGGTGTTTGCCCTCCGAGCTTCCCGAAGGAAGTGGAAGGGTGGGTCCATTTAAATTGCAGAAAAGGGCGTCTGATACAGCACGGCCCAAACCTGACAAAGCGATCGCCAAATGTAAAATATCAAATGCAAGCTCAGCTCCTCTGCCAAGGGGAAAGGAATTCTGAACAGTCTTCAAAATCGCACACACACACACACCACATTCTGGAGGCCAAGGTTTCCCCGTTCTGCCCTGGTGCCAGGGCCCCGCGGTGGGTTCCGTTCCGCCACATCTTTGGCGAGACAAGTCGCAAGGGGGGGTGGCGAATCCATCAGCTTCGTGGTCAAAGCTTCGTGAAAAAGCTTCTTCCAGCTTGACAAGGGTCATTTCAGAACTCGTTTTTTTTTTTTGTGGGAGGGTACCTGGAAGATCAGTTTCCTTCTGGAGAAACCCCTGTCAGGTGCCATGTTAGTGGGATGGAGAGTATCTGTTCAAACTTGCATGACTTCAACCTGCCCCCTCTTGCCCAATTCTACAAGAGAGGGGTGAGTGCACCTAGGTCTTGCCAGCTGGTGCTCCATCTTTGCTCCCCCGTGATCAAAAGCCCCCACCGTCGGTTTGCTTTTGGGTTTGCTCGTGACCGACCGTTGGAATGCAAGCAAGGAGCACGCTTGAATCAGACAACGCCTTCTGGCAGTTCCTCCGTTCCTTCCCCCTCCTTCCTTTCGCCCCCAGAAACGCGGTTCTGGCCACAAACCCCAACATCGCTCCCGCCCACCCCACCCCCCCGACATACGCGTTGACTCTCACCAAGCCCCAAAAAAGTGGAGGAGCACGCCTGAAACAACATCATGCGCATAGGTGTCCTTTTCGGGCAAATAGATGGGTTTCCCTGGTAGATGATGAAAAACCCTCCAGAAAAAAACAAACCTGGAGTCGAAGCCCCTAGATTCTTCGACCAAAACCACCGTTTTAAGGACACCTATCATCACCCCTTGCACGCCCCAACTGGCGAGGAGCTCAGGCTCTTCCGGCTCCGCCATGGCTCAGCCCGTCGGACGCCGAAGCCGTTGGAAGCTGAAGCCGAAGCCAACGCAGCGGCGCGGGCGGTTCGGCGAGCCCACTGAGTTAGGATGGGCAGCACAAAAATCTTCGCCACTCGCTAACAGGGTCTTCCCAAGAAGAAACCCCTGGAACTCAGGGAGTTGGGTTGGGTTGAGCTCTTTGAGAAAGAAAAACAACACAAGGTG